AAAGAGGGAAAGAGGGAAAGAGGGAAAGAGGGAAAGAGGGAAAGAGGGACAGAGGGGAGGGGACCCAGGGGAAGGACTTAAATGACCTTTTGATAAAATAATATTATAAATATTTTTAAAATCATTATAATCCATTTTCTTTACTCCTAAGACTGGATATAAATTAAAAAAAGGAATTACAATATTACCTATATCCTGAATATTTGAAATATTTAAACTTACAGTTTGTTTTGAAAAATAAATACCTTTATTTGTTCTTGAATTATATTTGTTGAAAGAAATATTTGGAAAGTATTTTGAAAGATAATCGTATAAACCTTCTAATAAGGCAGTATCTTTAAGATGAAGAGTTATTTTAAAAACACATCCTGTATGAAATGTATCTTTATACTGTGTCAACTTAGTATAAAAAGATCCATCTCCACTTGTAAATCCTGCTACCCACATTCCATGAGGAATACCCCTAAAATTGTAAGACATAGTATCAATTAAAGAAATATTAAAATCAGGAAAAGCTTCTTTCAAACTATCAGATAATCCGAAATTAGTTAAATTTTTTAATGTAGCCAATTTTGTCATACCTTGATAATTAAAATGTTCTTTTGTTGACATAATATTATAAGCTTGTAACCAATCTTGATACACAAGATATTTGCTGGAAACAAGAGGATATAGTTTAAAATGGTTAACAATAACTGCAAGATCTTTAAATGTTTTAACTGTATAATTAGTTACTTTTCCTTTTGTACTTACAGTTCCCACTCCTAATGTATCCTTAAAACTTAGAAGAATAGGTAAATCTTTAACATGTAAGTTAATTCCAAAAACTAATCTAGGAGTATACTTAAATTTAGCTTTAGAATCTTTAAATAATTCAATACTAAAATAACCTTCAGCATCAACAAATCCAGTCATAAACCAAGGATCTAGTTTATTTAACTTGGGTCTTTTTGTAACAACTACATTTTCAGAGACATTATTTTTGTTAGAAAGGATTTCAGTTTGATACCCCCTTACAGGGGCCATTAGAGTGCACCTTAACAGTCCTACTTGAAAACTGTAACTACCGTCCACTCGTTGCTCTTTTACCAGTGCAATAGCGCTGGATTTAGATCCGCGATAACCCATTTCACTTTCGTTCATCTCCTGACTTGTTACCATACCCAGGTAATTATTCTGGCCACTTATAGCCTTTCGACTATAGCTTGGTACCAGGAGCTTTAGGGTGTCCCCGGAGTTTGATAGTTCGGCCCACGGGATCGATTTCCCAGATCGATCAGCAGGCAGCATGTAAGAATCAAATTCAATAGATTCACCACTTTCATTAATATAATCACTATATTCATAAGACCAATACCATTGGTGCAACCAATAATTTATTATTTATTGATTTTGTCGACTGTACATTAAGCAATATAATTTAATATTATATCACCCACAAGTGACCCAGTCTGTTGCAACCAGAGGGAAAAAAAATAACCCCCTAACTGACAGTCTTGTACTAAATCCGGTATTTAAATATAGTCTTTAACTGTTTTCACTCGCATCGCCAAAGGCAAAACTGCCTTTAAGAATCTTGTCAAATTCTTAAAAAGATAATTTAAAATTATCTTTCACGACTATTATATATATGTGTGTGGTTTGAAAGAACTTAAATAGTATTATTAATACCTAATTTATATAGCATACTAGGATGCATAAATGGTCCAATTATACTGATTAATGCAGTAATAGATTGTTTTTTAATATAAATTGAATATTTATCTTTGATATATATTTTTTGAATAGTTGTATCCAAATTATATCTAGATTTTATAGCTTCATTTAATAGTTTTACTTCTGTAAGTTCAAAACTGTTAGTAGCTATTCTAACCCCGCTATTAGTCCAACCACCATCATCCATAATCCACACCGCTAAGGCTAATGGTGTTAAATATTCAGCAATATTCTCAGGTATTACTTTTTTACCTTTTTTATAAAATAGCTGGTGTATCCAATTAAAACTTCTAAATGTAAATGTATTAAATTCATAACCGTAATATAATGTTCCATTTTTAATACCAATAGTTCTAGTATATTGTCTAGGTGGAAGATTAGTTGTATAACCTCTATTATATAATAATTCATATAACCAGAACAAATATTCTTTGTGTATTTGACTTTGTCTATAACAAACTCTAACACCTTCACCGGATCTTCTATTTAAATAAGCATCACCTAATACTGAACCTATTATAATAGATAATACATCTTGATTATGAGGACCTATTCTATTTATAGCTCTAATATTTTGTATGTGATAAAACATACATTGATTTTTTGGATAAATACTAAACTTTTTATAATTGATCAGTATACCTGAAGAATACAATACTGATTTACTATTAAGACTAATGCGGTTATTAGAAAGATAGCTACTTTTGAATGAGTTAGGATAATACTGATTATTTTTTTTACCATTAAAAATGGTGTCTTTCATTTTATTTAATATATATAATTTTAGGCCACCTAAAAAGAGACCTACTACTTTAATAGTAATTGTAGGTGAAATAACTTCATCTAATAAATATAATAATCTGAAAGAAGGGAAAGCTATAGCAATTAATATTAAAGCAGGAGTAATAGTCCAAATAAGTTCAATTAATGTCGACAACATAAGTACTTTCATACTTAACTGGAATATATATTACCACATATGTTTACTTATATATGGCTTCCACGTGTAGTCTCTAAGGAAATAATCCCGCTAAGGTTTTAATACCTGAAGGTTTCCTGCTGATAATCCATTGTACATCTTTTAGGGTTTTCACTGCTTATCTTTTGGAACTTTATAGTACCTAAAAGCTTTAGGAGTTTCCAGCATATAGTGGAATTTTATTCATAGTTTTTTTAAGTTTATTTTGGAGTTCCCCCAGTAAATTTATATCTGTCTTTAAATATTTGACCTGAATTTATATACAGTCTTACAGTATTGTGACTAATTCCTAAAAATTTAGCAGCTCTTCTTATTGAAACAAAACTACCGATTAAATTAAATCCTTCTGAATCACATTTTTCATGTATGTAAACAAGATAACCTCTACTAGCACTCAATTTTAATAGAGTTTCTTCAGAATGTTTTCTACCTAAAGATTTTTGTCTAATTAACTCTTTAGTTTCTTCACTATGAGTTTTACCATATAAAGGATTATTTTCATTAGATTTTTTTAAAGCCATCAATGCTTTAGTTTCTTCAGTATGCGTACGACCATATAAAGCAGATTTTTCTTTAACATAAATTCCTTTTAAAGATTGACTAATTTTTGTTTTAGTTTCTTCAGTAAGCTTATGGCCTGAAGAACTACCTGCTATTTTTAAAGTATTGTACTTAGGATTTAATTTATCAAAATAATATTGTTCTCTTTCTGTTAAATCAGCTATATCACAATATTCTAAAATCTCTAATGAAAAATTAGAATATCCGTATTTAATTAAAGCTCTACTTATTACACGTTTCGCTCTATTCCTTAAATAACTAAGATTAAAATATCTTATAAATCTTTTGGCTAATTCTACTGATTGCCCAATATATATATCATTTGTTAATTTATTGGTCCATTTGTAAATACCAGATTTATTTTTATTATCTAATATAATTGAATTTTTCATAGAATAAGCATCTTCGTAAAACTTTATGCTATTAACATGTGAAGAAGGTGTTGTACTGTAAAAACGTATATAATTTAGATTATTTAAATTATTAAACTTAAAACACTTTTGAAAAGGCACATCTATACCGTGGTTAAGATATTTATGAACGATTGGAGATTTTTTAGAGTTATAGTAATAGATAATTGAACCTAAAACCCAAAATACACCTACTGAAATAACTACTAAGTAAAAAAATATAGTATTGTGTAGTTCAACTATTCCTGTAAAACCTGGAGCTGCACTGTCTTGAAATCCAATTTGCCAAGGTTGTGGGGCGTCATTAAATATAGTATTAAATATTGAAATATTTTTTAACATATTTAGAAAAATAATAAATTTTAATTTATATAATCTTAGTTTATTGAGTCCTCTTCTATACATATTTTAACTAAAAATAATTAATTATTTATTTTATAAAATTTAGATTAAAAACAAAAAACTTAGGCTGCCGACCGCAGGACAGGCACGTTATACCTTTTTTTAATTAAAAAAAGGGAAAAGAGATCAGTTCTAAGCCGGGATCTGCCCGAGGATCTGAAGTATAAATGTAGGAGTCTTAATTTTATTTTAAGCATATAAAATAAATAATATTAATTCAGAAATTTGAATTAGTAAACCAACAATCCCGATCCCCTCCCCTCGCTCGCGCCATCGCTCGCTCGCGCCTAGCGGCAGCCTAGCGGCAGGCAGG